GTCATTTGTGAGGAGGCTTATGAATAGCTTACATGTGTGTGTGTGTGTGTGTGTGTGTGTGTGTGTGTGTGTGTGTGTGTGTGTGTGTGTGTGTGGTTTTATTTACACTTTAAAAACTTTAACCTTTCCAAAAAAAAGAAAATACTGCTAATGAGAGGAAGTCACCAGGCAGTGCATGCAATGATGTAATGCACCTGCTCCTTGCTCTCTCTTTCTGATTGCTGCAGTGCCACGCAGTGGTCACTTCGTGAACTGACACGTGGTGAACGCATTCACAGCAAAAGTATTTTTAACTGCCCCCCTGTGGACGAATCTCACGTACACATGCTTAAGCATAGAGAAGCTGTGACGCCTGAATATAAGAGCAGGCAGCCTAATAGTCTAATGGAAGGGGATGCTACTTAGCATATAACAATAGAGATAAAGAACAACAGAGAGAGCAGTCTTTTGAGTGGAAGTTGTTGGCTCAGATGGAACAAAATTGAGTATATTACAGCAAAATTATTTATATTTATATACCCCCCACCCCCACCCCATTTATATACCTCTGAGGGAATTGTAGGGATTATGATATGGACTTAGAAAGTGTGAAAGTTTATTGAGGAAGAAACCCAAAGGGAATTTCATGGCCAGTGGAAAAAAGATTGTGCGTGTGGGTGTGTGTGACAGCTTAAGAGATGCCTCCTCTCCTCAGCAGAAAAGAAACCTCCTTGATATGTTAGTGAGTGAGGAAGAGAAGAGAGGATGGTGATAGCTGCTGACCTGAGGCAATCAAAATTGCCCCCCCCCCCCCGACACACACACAGTCTTTCATAGTTTATGTGTTGCCTTTCACGTCAGGCAGCTCTCAGTTACTGCTGAGTTGTTCCTGCACACTACACTCTCCCACTGTAAGCATTATTAGATTAAAGCTGAAACTTCTGTGTGTGTGTCTCATATTCATGCGCTGTATGGGTTTGTGCACCTTGGTTAAAATTTAAATAAATGATAACAGTAATTATTGAAGTGTTTTGTGCACCTTTGGTTGTACTTAAAATAAGATTATAACCATCATGTTACATCCTGAGATCTTCAATCATGGCAGCATTCAACAACAAGAAACACGAGCACTTACACAGGTTTTAAATAAACAACCAGAGTGCTTAAACTTATAAAATGATCACCAAACATATCCAGTAAACTTGATCATGACAGTCTGTGGAGTGACATCCCGGACCTCACTCGTGTGCTGTAGTTGTGCACACACGTACACATATTTGTTGTGCCGATTATTAGCGATATCACAGAGTCTGTGTCTCTTCCAGTCATTTCCAGTGAGATCTCTGGGCTGGGTGGAGATGGCCGAGCAGGATTTGTGTGAAGGGAGGAGCAGCGTGGCTGTCCACCACTGCATCAGACAGCTGTCCTACTGCAGGAGGGACATACGAGACTCAGCCGGTGTCTGGGGAGAGGTCAGTCCAAAAGAGATCAGCTCAACATACAGTACATGTTTATGAGTCAGTTTTGCTGGGTGTCAGTGGAGAACCAGCGTTACTGCCGGCTGCTTTGTACATCGATGTCCATCAGTTTATAATTTTGTGCTATTAGACATTTGTTTGAAATGATGTCACAAATAGTGCATAAATTAAATTATAGTGATGTGTGTGTGTGATGTGATTGTTGACCATGAAATCATAATAGTTCCTTGAGTCCAACTGAAAAGGCCTCGCAGGCACACACTGTAGGAAGAAGGTTTATGAGTGCACAACCTCTGATGTATATGTGAAGTCAGTGAACTGTTGATCCTGAAATGGCTCTTAGAGCCGGATCTTTGACGTGAACGACGCGAGCCGGCTCCTTATCACGAGCCGTGTTTTTTTTTTTTTTTTCTCTCACCCTCTCTCTCTCTCTCGCACTTTTTTTCTGCTTCACTCCGCATGCGAGCCTTGTGCTTTGCGCCGGGAAGAGGGGAGAGGGGGGGTAGTTACACTTGCAGTAGCACAGGAACAGAGCGGGAGGGAGAGACAGAGAAAGAGAGCCAGGGACAACAACGTCACATTAGAAAGGTATAGTAATCATCCACAACTATTTTCAGTTGCGGATGATAAAGGATTCAGAAAGTTTATTCATGCAGGTCCATATGACAGAGAATGTGCATCTTCTTTTTGTTTTATATTTTAATTTATATTTAATTGTGTTGTGGTTTGCAGTGTTTTGTGTTGTTTCACTTTAAATATGTTTAAAAGGAAAAAGCTGAAAATTTAAATAGTTCAAAGTTGAAATGTAAATAGTTGGTTTTGTATTATATGATTTATTTATTACATTTCATGTGGAGTGAATAAATACAAGTATATTTACGGTGGCCCCTAGAGACAAAGCACGTACAAACTTCAAAACATTTACGAACTCTGAAGCACGTGGTGTGTGGCAGTAACAGGTAAATGAACTTTTTTTAAATTATTTGAATATATATGAGTGCTTGTGTATAAATGCACAAACAATGCACATATGCTTTCAATTGTGTAATTAAAGTGATCTAGGTAGCTCTGTTTTGGAAGTTCAGTTAACTCTAGAAATGTGTTTTGGAGTTTGTATGTGTTTTGTCTCTAGGGGCCACCGCATATATCTATATATAAACATATATAAATAAAACCACTTTTTTTTTACATTAGTAATTCCTTTTGTGCATAATTTTATATTATTGTTATTAATAAATTAATTAAAGCTGCATAACAACCCGAAGAGCCGGTTTGGAGCCGAAGGAGCCGGCTCTTGGGATGGGATTTCCGATGGGATTTCCGTCTCTTTTTAGAGAACCGGCTCTTTTGGCTCGGCTCACTAAAAAGAGCCGGCTGCTTCGGCTCCGAACCGGCTCTTTTTAGTGAGCCGAGCCTCTAAAAAGAGCCGGAAATCCCATCACTACTGGCTATATTTCATTGAAAATATTTCCCTATAGTTTTCAAAGTACTGTCAAGTTGTTTTTTTAAATCATGTCGCAACAAATTATATAACTTACCTCACAAAAACCTCTGGCTGGCTTGTGGATGACAGCACTGATGTATCCTTGGTTGCTATCTTGCAGGGCAAAGGGATGCTTTTAGTGCTTCAGGATCGCATGTTAACTCTTGTTGACCCTGATGATCGCAGCTTGCTCCACTCTCAGCCAATCAGCAGCATCCGTGTCTGGGGTGTTGGCAGAGACCATGACAGGTAGGGAGGACATTACAGAAATCTTTACTGAAACCATGCTGTTCTGTTTTTATAACTCTTCCCCTGTGGAGGCGATATTTTGATGACCTTCCCTGATGAATTTCAATAAACATGTGGTTTAACAACCATTAAAATAGTTTCAAGGTTTTCCAAAGGGTAACTGCATAGGCAAGGGCCACCCTCACTCACTTCTGACACAAACCCAGTAATCTTGTTGTATAAGCAGCCCTGAAATATGACAGAAACTGTTCAGTTAAAAAAGAGTTTCAAGGGTTACTCCTAATAGACACGAGTAAAGAGTTAATGACTGACATTCTTAGTGAAACAGACAAGAACCCACACAAACATGTTGAGCAGATAAATCCTTCTGTATATGTGCAAACACACAGTTTTATACGGGAACCTTTTAAACTGCATGTGTGTAAAACACTCAGGAGTTTTAACTAATCACTAGAGAACAGCATCAGCCTTGTTATTATTCAGTCTGTATTTTCACAGACTGTGCTAAAACTCCACAATTATTCCTAATGCTTCACTTCCACACTGAGGACCTATGGGGCCTTTAGTCATTTGGCAATATCCCATAGTCTTGGTTTTCACGTCTCAACATTGAGCTGACAGTGTGCTGAGGGCAGCGTAGCTGCTAATAAGGGGAGCTGGCCAAGCCCTCATTGATATGAGCCGCTCTGGGTTTCCATTAACCTGCATATTAACCTATACACTCGTGTGGAAACGTTAGCGCTGATGCATGGCATGCATGGATTTCATATGTATGAGACACGTATGTGCATTTGGAAGCTTAGCACAGACAGAGCAAAAGTCTTGTGAACACAAAATGCTAAAAATCTAAGCACTTTTTTTTTTGAGGATTTACTTTAAAGATGTGTCAAATGAAATCAAACGAGAAGATGGGCTGGAGGTTTCAGTCCAAGAAACGGTCGGGTCCTGACATGTGTAATCAGCTGTTAAAGAATCGGGTGAAAATGGAGTTTAAAATTGAGTCTGTGTAAAAGGCTCACTCGCACTCAGCCATGCTTGTTACCCCCTCTCCTTCTTCCTGCCTCAGTGTCTCTCTGTCTATCTTATTTCCGTCTTTGTCTTTTAAGTACTGCTCTAGTCTCTTTCTCGCTCTCTCTCTTTCTCTCTCAGAGCATCCCTCTTATCCGCCCACTCTTCTCCATCCCTCCTGTCTTCCTCCTTTTTGACTTCCCCCAACAACAACACTACAGCAACATCAGCTGTATGTGTGCGAGTGAGATAAAGAGAGTGAAATAAAGAAAGCAAGTCCCTCCGCCCTCTTCCATCTCCGAGGATTGAGAAACTTTCAGTGGCTGTCTCTCTCAGCGGTAATGGATAAAGCGTGTAGTGGAAAGAGAAGGGGAGGGTCATCTCAGGATAGCGCTCCCTCTTATCCTTTATTCCCTCTCTGCATCTCACTTATAACATTACAGCTTCCCCCCACCACCACCACAGCTCTTTAAAATCTGCAGGGTGCAGTCTTGCATTCCTCTGCTTGGTTTTAGGCTCATGACTTTTGGATGTACCCCAATCAGAATGAAAAAGTCAGAAAAACTCTTGCTCTCATACGTCACAAAAAGGAGAACATTGACATTCACTCTATTAGATACATGTTCATACATAAGTAACTAAAACAATATTTTCTTCAATGCTTTCGATATCCATTGAAGAAGTAAAGTGCTTAGCATGTGGTCCAGGGGACAGGATGTGAAGCCGCTTTCATGGTGATAAGTTGTTTGGGACTGATGTGAAAAACTGGATAGCTTGGCCTTCAAACCAGCACAGGGTGTTAAAGCTGAGAACAAACAAGGTGACTCAGAAGATATTTGATGCTCTGGAGCCACATGGAGCTTTTCCATGTATGCAGCAAATTGTTTTACAGCAACCTGCATTGCAGTTTGTGCGTGTGCGATTGTATCTGAGATTATTTTGCCACAGGTTGGAATTTTTGCTCTGTTAGTCCTGCCACTAGAGTGCACTGTAATCAAAGCCTGCTCGTGGAGAGAAGCCGCTAGCTTGCAGCTGAATCCTCAAAAGTATATGTGAGCACCCCTGCTCCTGTGGACTGTGATGATCATTTTCTCCCGGGTTGATTGTTTTAAACAGCGCCTGTTAAACAGCAGTGATAGAACAATGAAAAACTTGGTTGTTCGTTTTAAAGCTGTGATTTTTATTTATTCTTGTAGGGGTGTGCTTTTTCTGTCACTACTGAGTGATTAATATTTTTGCATTTGTTAATTTGCTCAGTTATTTTGTGACAGTCTTGGAGTGATACTGTGATCCTGTGAAGCGTTGGCGAGATGTTGCTGACGTCAGCTTCTTCGTGTCATGCGTTGCTTGGTTATTCTTCTTATTTTTAATGTTATGTGCTCTGTCTAAAAAAAAAATGACTGACACACACAAAACCCTAACATTAACCACATCTAATCCCTTTGTGGTTAAACTGGAGCCAGGTCTGATTAGGGTACCCCTGTATAGAAGCAACTCCTGCAGGGAGGTTTGAAAAGTCTCCATAGAGCTGAGATTGTAATAGCAATAACAGGTTTTGGTAGTCCACTATATGTTTTGTATGATTGGCAGCTCAGTGTGCTGCCTAAGTGGTTGACTTACTTGCCTGCACACTGTGTGTGTTTAAAGTCAGACTGGTAATATTGTTAACTGACTGAAGCTGGTAGGCGGTGAAAGACATGCAGAAGAGAAATGTATTTCTTAATTATGTTTAAAAGGCCATAAATTGACAGGGAAAGAGGAGGAGGCAGAGGTGAAAGATAAAGGCTGTTTCTGAAAGCATGCATAGAAGATAGCTCGCACTTTGCTCTCTCTCCATCAGCTGTCTCTTTCTTTAACCATCAATCTGTGGAATATTCCCAGTCCTCTCCCGAATGTTCGCTCTCTCGCTCTCCTTCAGCTTGATTCAATATGAATGAGTCCCCCCATCTCGTAAGCAGGGCGGGACGATGGTAGAGGAGGGGTTAGCGCTTCGATGAAGTCATGAGGCTATATCTGGAGCACTCAGCAAGTCTGACCGCGTGCACGCCCAAATTGCGCGTGCACGCTGTTCGCATTTATGTGTATACATGCGGACTTGAACTGATGAAGTCATAGGTCTAAATCCGGAGCGCTCTGTTTGTGTGTGATGGTGAATGAGTGGGTGTGCATGTGTTTCCCCCCACTTTTCCCATCCCATCTTTCTGTCTGTGCTATTTCCACTCTTTGTCTCCAGCGCTCTTTCTGCCTCCCTCCTGTGCCATTGGCTGCACAGCTTTGCCTCTTCTTCTTCTTCTTCTTCTTCTTCTTCTTTCTGACTCTCTTTCTTTGTCCTGCCACTGCACTTTAGTGGGGTTGAAGCCCCCCCTTTTTTCCCAGTTTCACTCAGGCAAGAGAAGGAGAGACAAAGATAGGACGAAGGCGAGAAGATACTCAAGACAAACAGTGAGAGAACGGGGAATAAAGCGCGGCACTGCTTTTGAGAGAGTGTGTCGGGAATGATCAGCGTGATGGGAAGCCAATAAGAAAGGGAGAGAGGCATGCTTCCCTGCTTGCACTTGACACAGCAGGACCTCGCAGGAGACTCTCCGGACCAGGCAAGCAAAGCGAGGGAAGCCGGCTGTAGAGGAAGATAGAGAGAGAAAAGGTGTAGCGGAAAAAAGTGGAGGAGGAGTGGGAGAAGGAAGGGGGAGGGGAAGAAAAGAGGGAGAGGAGAAGGGGGAAGAAGCCCCAGAGGATTAAAAAAAAAGGATAAGAAGAAAAAGAGAGGAGGCAGACAGGAAGAGATTTACCCTGGGGTACTGCTGCGAAGGGGCTGTAGCAATGTCACCGCGGCGAAGGAGCTAACGAGGCAAAGAAGTAGTTGTCGGTAACGGGTCGAGGATGCCTGCTTGTGTGAGTACTCTGATCTGTAGTTCATTCAGTCCTCTATTCTCCATCTATCTATCCATCCATCCATCCACAAAGCCATCTATACACTTACAGTGACCCATTACCACCTCTCTTTCCACCTTACTATCACCCTCTCTAGCCTTTCTGATGATTTCTAACTGCTCCGTTTGTTTAAAGGACACAGCACACGTCCCTTGGCCCTACTTTTTCTAATTAGCTTTCCCTTGATTTTTTCCACTCATTTACGTCTCAGCTTCCTGCTGTGTGTTTGACTTCAAGCTGTGTACCTTGTCCCTCTGACTCCCTCTCTCTCTCTCTGGCTTGCCAGCAGGTGTAGGGATGCAGGCTGTTGGCAGCAGGTTTGCAGCCAGAGTCACTGAGACAAGAGCAAGACATTCATTCAGGGAGTCAGATGAGAAAGAAAAGGCATAAGAGCAAAAGAGAAAAGAAAAAGATGAAGTAGGCAAAGGAGGGATGAGAAAGACAGGATTAACGGGTTTGGATACGCTGCAGGGATTTTTTTAAAGTGTCTGTCATGGCTGTTTGGAGCTGTTTGATATGTGTGTGTATGGGTGTGTATGCTTGTGTGTGTGTATTCTGCAGACATATACATCATGAGCTTAAAACTTAATTAGTTTAAATACCTAGGTGTGTGTGTGTGTGTGTGTGCATGTGTGTGTGTGTGTGTGTGCATAGCAGGAGCTACTATATGCATACAGGGAATTTCCCTTTCTCTCTCCTAGCAGAGGATGAGGAGGAGAAAGCGGGATGAGGGATGAGCAGGGAAGCACTAAGCGTAGAACAAAAAGCCACAGAGAAATGATTTATGGCATCAGAGAGGCCCTGTCTTCTTGTTTTCGTGTCCTTGGCATGTGACACTTGTTAGGATTGAGACAACGCCGCTGAAAACCCAATAATGTACGTTTTTAATAGTATCTTTGCGCCAGCCTGCTGTCTATGTCCCTTTTTCTACTATTTAAATGAACTAATGTTACCTGTTTTCACTAATGGCTCAACGGCAGATGCTCGAGTTCACACCCACACACACAAGCAGAAACATATCATACCAACACACTCCAACAAATGCACACTGATTCCACATT